ACATACAGGTCATACCTTCATTCAGTTTTCAGAGCTCTGTAAATGTCAGACTCCACCCCATCCTACCAGAAATCATTTGAAACCCCTGCTGCTAAATAGTTTTCTTATCTTTAAACTCCAATCTCCATTCTTTCTCTCTTGAAATATACTTGTGTGAATATAGCTGACAAAAGGTAAGAGAGTTGCAGGTTTTTATATAGTCACACAGAACAAGAAATACAGATTGAGTGAAATGTCACTTCTTATTCTGTTCATCATTAAAAATGATGAACTCTAGTTTCTTTTCTTTTTTTAATTGTTTATGAGATTCTTAACACGGCAAAGAGCAAAATAAAAATAAAAATAATAAAGATGTTACATTGATGTCCAGTGTGTTTGGACATTAAGGCCTATTTATTTTACTGTATTTTGCTGAGCACTAGGAAAAAAACAGAGTGAAATTATAAAAATTATAAAAGAAACAAACTACTCGAGATTACTTAAAGTAGAAGTGTGTAGGTTTGTATTTTTACTACAACTCTGAGAATTTCCCAGGCAGGCAACAATACCTACCTTAAGATTTCTGAGAGATGCAGTTTGCAAAACTAACCATAGATCTACGTACTTCTGCTTCAAATTGTAGGCCCCTAATCAGAGAGTAAACTAAGGAGCAAAGTCCTCTGGGAGACAAGGTAGCAAAGAAGCATATGGAAGTATGTGGAAATCATCATAGGCATCCTTCAGTCTCGAGAGACTATGGTAACATGCTCTGTATGGAGGACTTGGAACAGCGTCTAATGTTTTGACGTTGTACGCAAAGCTGGGGTGTCCTCTCCAGGGCACGGAGCCTGGGTAAAATAATATGGAGGATAGGCTGTTACCCAGCCAGCAAATCCCCCCTCTCCACGTCACTGAAATAGTCCAATGGAAAGGCAAGAGCCAATACAGCTGGTTTCAGCGACATCGCAGGAGTTGACAGAATGACACGAACTGCCTCTGGGACTCCAGCTCCGGATGTGGAAATATAATGACTGCAGTTTATGTCTCTCTTTAGCTTTGTATTGTTTATAGAGAATCCTGATAAAACTGAAGCACTTTTAGAGCTCACCTACCTTTTTTACCACCTAGAGAAAAGTAGTCAGTGCCACAAAGTAGCCATCACTGCTATACATTAGTCTCTTGTTCTTAACTGAAGTCCAGAGGAGCCATTATCCAAGAGCGACAGAGGCAGCGTATCTATACTATGCAATATCTGCAGTCCTGGCTTTAGATAATTTGCTGGCAAGAAGATTGTAAAGAAGAACATCTGAAGCGGTGCACTGTAGGACCAGGGCTAAACATAGGATAACCATCGATCAGCATAAAAAAGGAACACTGGTTAAAATAAAACTGCATATGTTAATTTAGAAAGAGGACTTTTGAGGAGTACACTCCAATCCTGATAATATTAGTACTCTAAAGCTGCAGTGATGGTGAAGGGGGATGTTCAGAGCTGAATGAGTTTCCACTTAAACATTCTTAGTATCTCAAGGTGCTAGAAAGAAAGGAAAAAATGATTGGACAAAGCATAGAGGAAAGATGGGCCTATGCAGATTCCGCTACTCTTCATTTTAGGACTTCTGTGGTGGTGTGGTTGCTTCTTGCATGGTCTTAGGACAGGAAATTCCCCATCCACAGAATCGTACTATTTCTTTTCTGAGTATGGCCAAGTTAATTCCAAGCCAATTCAAACACAACTCAACTTGTTTAGTTGGGCTTTCTCCCAAATAGGCCCAGAGGAATGTACCCATCCATTCATCTGGGCCAACACTGTGACATAACAGCCAATCGTAATTTTGGCCAGGAGAATTTCCATATTGGTGCAGTATTTTGCTGATCATTCTACCTTCCTTTCTTTACTTTCTTGCAGAGTTAATAAGTGGTTCAAAAATTAGAGGAGTTGCAGCTCTGATAGCAATAATAGATAAGGAAGAAAATCTTAGTCATTATTATTTTATTTTATTTATTCAGTTTCTATTTTGCTCCCTCCCAAAGGCTCGGAGTGGCTTACAGGAAATAATTAGAATTTATATTAAAGTAGGAGAACAGCGACAACAAATGTGGCCTTTCCCTTGCCAGTGTCCTTGCTGAGAGCAAGAAAAGAGAAATCATAATAGGCCTTCCTCTTCCTCCTGCTGTCTTGGGCCATCAGGGATAACATAAAATTTAAAAAGGAGATGAGCAGCAACAAGAAGCTGAGTGTTCAGCTTAGGAAACCATGGGAAACATCAACATGCATAGGGGGGAAATGTTTTATTTATTTACAGAAGCACTCTAGACTGTATGCTTGGTTTCAAGTAGAGTACAATCTTCCTCAGAAGCAGTAGTAGAAACAGGGCGGAAATTAATTTTGTTGCAGTCAGCCTTTTCAAGGAAGGTCTCCATTTTGTACCGCCAAAGACTCATTATGAGACAAAGCACAGCATGCCATGGGATTCTTCACATCTCTGGGAGGCTTCAGGTGCATTTCAGAGAAACAAAACAATATACAGTATGTTTTTAAAATGTGAAGGGATATCTATCACGCTAAAATATGCACAACATGCAAAAAATGCATATAAATAATGCATACTTGAAGAAATAAAGAAAATTTCTTGCAGTCTAATACAAAGATAAGATGGGATGAAAGCGCATATTGGATATTGAGAGACACTGAAATCAAGACTGAAGTCTTACGTTTTAGGCATCCTTCAGTCTCGAGAGACTATGGTAACGTGCTCTATATGGAGGACTTGGAACAGCATCTAGTGTGGCTGAGAAGGCCAATTCGAGAGTGACAATCCCTTCCACATTGAAGACAAATACAATCTGTCCCATGTCCAGTACCCTGACTTTGCTGGTTTTGGGACTGCCTCTTTGCCTCGGCCTGCTGGTCAAGTGTCTCTTCAAAATGGGAGAGGCCGTGATGCACTGCCTGCCTCCAGGCTGAACGTTCAGATGTCAAGGTTTCCCATCTGTTGAGGTCCATTTCTAAGTCTGCTTGCAGATGTTTTTGTATCACAGCTGTGGTCTCCCTCTGGGGAGCTTTCCCTGCACTAATTTTCCATACAGGAGATCTTTTGGAAGTTTTACATATGTATTATAGATTTCAGTTTCCTGAACAAGATTAAAGAGGAGTGGCTAGCTTGTGCCCCACCTGGTTTTGTCTGTCCTTCTGTCTGTCTGTCTGTTGCTGCAGCCATGAGGATGATGAACCAGGAGAAAACCAGTTGAAGCTTGTGTGCAGACTCAATGGGTGATCAAGAACCCTGCAAAATCCTCTCTAACTTGGTTCAGGAAACTGTGATCAACAATGCTTGAACAGAGCTTTGGATATGCAGTTCAAAATGTGTCAGACAATGTGGAAAGTTTTTCCTTGGCATACGTATTTTTAGGGTTGCCTCTATTTCCAGCCAGAGTATTTTTCTCACCTTCATCTTTGTAAGCACAGGGCAATATTAGGAATACAGTATTGATACTCTTGTCAGGAAGGACTATTAGGTATTAGAGACTCAGTGCAGCACATGAATAGTGCCAGCAGGTACTAGTTATTCAAAGATTAATTAATCTGGGGACAAAAAGATGTGTTGTATTGCGGGTATATTGGGTTGACCTCATTCTTTAATTACAGCTGGGTCTAACTTTGCATGAGCTTCTTTACGCTTTGACATAAAAGGATTGAATGACAAGTGGAGATTGCAAGTCTTGTTAGTCCACCCTCCTACTAGTAGATACCCCTCTGCTACTAACAGCAGCAATGAGGAGCATGCCAGCTGGCAAACCATACTGTGTGCCTTACTTTCCCCATTCTCCCTCCTTCTCACCTCTGCATTACCTGGCTTTTTAAGGATATTAAGCAAACAGCATGAAATGGGTAAAATCTGAGCAGAGTTCTCACACTCTTCAAACAACAAAGACAGGATGCAGATCTGACGTTAGCTGGGGGGCAGGCAGCATCTCATTTTCAGAAAATGTTAAAAAGCTGCCTAGTAGGGGGAGAAAGGTGGAATATGCAGATCATACATACATCTAGTGGCAAAAGAAACTGGCAGAAGCTCAGGCTACAGAATAAATGTGATAATATAACAGCTGCATTCCTATAACAAAGTGAAAATGCAGCTCATAGCCCTGATATTTCACATCTGCTCTGCATGCAGCATTTGGGTAAATTTGGGGAGAAAACTAATAAGTGATTCATTCTGTGTTCATACAGTTGGCAGTTTTAGAGAGAAGCTTTTAGCCAGGAAACAAAGTGAAGAAAACTACAGAAGAGTTTTTGAAACCTCTTCCAAAAACCAGGGGGAGGATAGAAAGGCTGTAATTTACCCATCTGGAGTGGGGTACAGTTGCAATGACTGTATTCTACAAAACAGACAGCGTTCTCAGCACATTGTGGGCTTTCTCTGCAGGTAATGAATGCGAACAGAAGATGGCAGGATGTGAGTTCAGGTCACCTAGACTAAGCTTAACTGAGCAAGTTAATTAACAAGGCAGATGCCTCAGGTGGTGTAAATAGAGGAGATTTGATTGTCATTTCTTGTGTGGACACATTGCAATTTTCATACAGAAACCAAGAGAAGTTACTGTTTCAATTACAACTTCTAAAATGCCCCAGCCAGTACTGGAATAATGGCCAAAAAGTACCCTTTCCTATTCTACTGAAAGGGAACTTTGGTGAAAGCAGTTGTAAAAGGATTTTCTCTACATTAATTGGGGGAGATCTATAATTTATAGTCTAAAGAGTAACTTCTCCAACTTCTGATATCATTATAATTCCATATCAATAAAATATGAATTTTGCTGACAAGAAGTAATTGTGAAGACAAATTAAAGACTATCGGGGGGGCGGACTTGCAAATCAATATATTTTTATAGAGATGTAGAGTTGCAGTAGATGCCAGTGTGGATGTAATGGCACTTAAGAAACATTTGTGAACATGTTTCAAACGCCATATGGAAAGGGCTTCATGGATCACAACATCTCTCTTTTTCCTCCCATGCAGGTGTTTTATAGAAGATAAAAGCTCCAAGGTGGCCTGGTTAAATCGTTCTGGCATCATTTTTGCTGGTCAGGATAAGTGGTCGCTGGACCCCCGCGTAGAGCTCCAGCAACTTTCTCTTCTGGAATACAGCCTCCGGATCCAGAAAGTGGATGTCTATGACGAGGGGTCATACACATGCTCTGTGCAAACACTACATCATCCCAAGACTTCCCAAGTTTATTTGATCGTTCAAGGTGAGAAGTCATTGCTTTAAATGGGAACAGTCTTTGGGGTTTGGGTTTATATCCGAACTAATATTCATCAAAGCCAGGGCTGAATGGATCAAACTATCCACTATCTCATTATCAGACAGATTTCCTTAGGTGTTGAAAGAAGCGTGCTTGACACAGGCGCACAGTAAGATGTTATTGCAATTCCCACAGTTTGCAAATTACTTTGCATTTTTTGGCTTGTTCATTGGAATGCAAACTCAGGCTACATTTGATTTCAGCTTCTTGTGATATGCTCTGCACAGCTTCTAGTCAGACCTGAAGTTCTAGGTGCTGAGAATTAAACTATAGGATATACATCTGGAAGTTGAGTCATGGCAACTGGACTTTTTTCTTATTAGCTTGAAATGTTTCACTACTCGTCCAAGTAGCTTCTTCAGTCTGAGGAGAGTTGATAGGAGACCCCTGATATATCCTCCATGTTGGTTTCACTTCCCCCTGGTCTGAATAGGCTTGTTAGAGGGACAAAGGACAGAGGTGATGGTGAGTGAAAATCCCACTTCTGCAGTCCTTCTCCACCCATTGCCATGCATCCTTAACAGTCATTAACAGTGGCCTTTCTGGTGGGTGTGGTCCAGATCTTTCTGGGGACAGATGAAAGGACAGCATGCTACAGGAGACAAATTGTGTCTAAGGCCTCCTTAGGGATTTTCTATAGGAACACGTATCTCCACATTGGGTGGAGAAGGACTGCAGAAGTCAGATTTTCACTCATTCCCATCTAACAAACCTATTCAGACCAGGGGGAAGTGAAACCAACTTTGAGGATATCTCAGGGTCCTCCTACCAACTCTGCTCAGATTGAAGGAGCTATTTGGATGAGTAGCAAAATGTTTCATCAACTCTGCTCAGACTGAAGGAGCTATTTGGATGAAATGTTTCAACCTAATAAGAAGTCCAATTGCCATAACTCAACTTCCAGAAAACCTCACCTGGATGACTGAAAATCTTCACAGATATATAGGATATATAGGATACTATGATGCTTAATTTGAGACCTTTCTTTCAGTATGGAAGTGCATGTTTCCAGTGATGCAATATAAAACCTTTATCTGTTTGTTCCAGAAGTAAACTTTATTGAGTCTGATGTGATTCACTCAGAAGGTGAATGAGTGTAACCTATGCTACATGAACTTAGTTCCCATAGAAATCAATGAGTTAAAGTTAAGTCATCATGATTAAACAAAGTCACACTACCTTGGCATGGATTCACCCCAAAATGATTAGCTGGAAAAATAATGTCTTTGTTCTAAAACAGAAACGTCTACCTGCAAAGCAAGCCTCTGTATTTCTAGATTTTTGTTTTCTTGACAGTGAATTAGTGAGCAGTCATCATCATCACCTTTATAATAATAATTACGTGCTATCAAGTCAATTCTGATTTATGGTGACCTTTTCCAGAGTTTTGTAGGTACAGTATAGAATACCCAGAAATGCTTTGCTGTTCCCTTCTTCTGGGGCCATTCTAGGAATGTGTAGCTTGCCCAAGGCTACACATACTGGTTTTATCCCAGAAGGCACAGTGGGGAATTGAACTCCTAACTCACTGAGCTATTCAACCAGCAATCGAACATTAGGTTATGTTTATTCATGTATCAAAGGGGAGGGTAAGGAGCTGCATTTCTCCAGCCTCAGCCCTGAAGCCCAGAACATTTAAAAAGAATTATGAGTTTTCTATTTCCAGATTTATATAGTAATAAAATAATCAACCAGAAACCCAAATCTCCTTTCTGGTTCTAAATATTATTAGATATTTTTAAAATATGTTGTAGGGTTCTGGAAAATAAATTGTGGATAGATTCTATTTGTGTTTGGACTGTGGTAGATTTCAACACAGATTTGAGACCCATTATATATTTTAGCATCCTTGGAAGTTGTCCGTGAGGTCAGTGTTGCAATGAAACATTGTGGAGGAAACAGAGATATCATATTTCATTGCCACACAGGCTAACTCTACTCACAGGAGGATCAAACTCCCAACCTCTGGCTCCGCAGCCAGATACCTAAACCACTGAGCTATCCAGCCAGCTTTCTTGACAAATTACTCAGTCAATATTCAGCTTATAGAAAGCACTGTGGAGCAGTGGTAGAGCCCATCTTTGTCATGCAGATGGTTCCAGAATCTGTTCCTGTTATCTCAAAAATCTAGTAGCTTCTACTCATAATCCTGGAGAAATTCTGCCAGTCAAAGAAGACACTGTTAGGCTAAATGAACAACCAGTCTGTCCTGACATAAGGCAGTTTAATATGTTCTGAAGCCTCTCTGCCAAATAAGAATGTCAACAGCTTCAAAATCTCAAATTCTGTCTCAACAGACTCAGTCTGCTACAAAGAAAGCCAACTCCAGCCAAGGGTTGTGCAGTCCAAGGATGGGGCAGAGTTATATTAGGAACAGCAGATGCATAGTTCAGTAGTCAGCATGTCTAGCAAAAGCAAGTGTTTAACCATACATGTCTCACGGGACCCCTGTTCCTGACATGTCTCCAGATTTGGGACACATGGCAGTAAAAAGCAATCCACAATGTGTACCTTTAATAAGACCTATAGAAGACTTGTGTCTTTTGTTTTAAAACAGAACCATACACATGGAAGCTTCAGAAATGCTTTTTCTTCAGTGGAAAACGCAACAGATTGCTATCTTCGGTGCTGCACAACTGAAGGTTGGCAGCGCAGGGGCAGATTTATCAGGGCAGAAATTGGTTTTCCTTGAACCCCCAGGGGGTTCAAAGAAAACCAATGTGGTGGTCTTCACCCCCAGAAGTTGTCTACTCTGGAATTAACAGACCTCTGGTTACCAGAATTAGGAAAGGCTTCTGCCAATGTTTATAGAGAAGGACTGCCGTCTCTTGTCAATGAATAGTATTGTGCAAGATAAGTTAGGGTATTTCACATGGAACTTGATGAGTATGAACTTTCATCTCAGAGTAGTCGAATAAAGTCCTAAATTAGGTTAGGCTAACCCACACAAATAAAGTGTATAGGATGAGGAGAATCCTGGGATCTGTGCCTCAAGAGTCCTAAATTAGGTTAGGCTAACCCACACAACCAACACATTGAACTACTATGACCTGTTATAATAGAAGGAGCAGAGGAGTAGAATCCAAATTCTTATATCAAGCAGATATGGAAAAGATCTACTTTGATCATTTTGTGTTATAATAGTGTTTGTTTTTTATTTAATGTTATGATAGTATGAATACTGCAAAACTGCTCAAACAGTTAAAGGCTGGAAAAGATTCCAGATACTTCTGAAATCAAGCACATCTCCTTGAACCATTTTTAAAAAAAGTTTTGTCCAACCCTGTTATTGACTATCTTTAGGATTCTTGTTGTTGTCTGTATAATAACATTTATATCTGGTATTCTACAATAAGAGTGGCACATGCCTCTGCTCCTTCCAAGTCAGATATGAGTCCTGCAAGGGCCATTTCCCATGCAGGGCATGCTGAACCAATCATGGAGTCAAATCAGTGACGTTGGAGCCTTAATTCCAGATCTGCTAACTCAGCTATGTAAGCACCACTGTTTGCATGGTTGGACATGGTGCACAGAGCCAGCAGCACTTACTGGGTCAAAGTATATAATCAGTGGTTTTCTTATCTCCTGTGACCACTCTATCCAAGGGAGCAAGTAAAAAATGAGAGATCTTAAGTATAAAATGAGAAAACAACAACCCAGTAAAACTTGATCTTTGCTTTCAGCTTATACCTTCCATGCATATAGAGGAGGTTTAGAAAACTTTTTGCGTTCCAGATCCACAATACTGGATAATTCCACCTAGTCTCCAATACTTGATTCTTGGGCCAGATACTGGAATGGGTGGTGACTGCTCAGCTCCAGGGGTTCCTGGATTAAGACAGATTATCTAGATCTGTTCCAACCTTGCTTTAGATCTGGCTATAGAACAGAGACCGATTTGGTTGTCTTGCTGGATTATCTATGTTGGGAAGTGGACAGTGTCAGTGTGCCTCTGTTAGTTCTTCTGGACCTCTTAGTGCTTTTTGATACCATCAACCATGGTATCCTTCTGGCCTGTTTTGCTGTGATTGGACTTGGAGGCACTGTGCTAAAGTGGTTTTGGTCCTTCCTGAAGGGAACTCAGAAGATGGGGCTGGGGGACTCCTGTTCACCACCCTGGCCATTGGGGTTCTGTTACTTTAAACTGACATATACAGTACATGAAAACATCAACTGAAGGACAGCTCCTGTAAAATGGATACAATTTTCCTTCCTAATGACTGATTTCATGCTGATAAAGCTGATAAAGCAGGAAGATTTTTGTTATGGGGAAATTCTTCGTAGAAGTCAGTACACACATGACTGAGCCTCCAGTGATGGCACTCATATCATTTGTAGTTGTTTTGTTTGATTTTGCTTAATTGAAAGACTGAGACTTTAATGGCCATTAAGAATAAAGTTTTTTCTCATGCACACAATTCATTTTTGTATTAGAGGCTTCATCCTCTTATTTTCCCAGTTATAACAGTGTGATAGAGATGGAATATTTTCATCTCAGATTATGACAGGCTCATCTTGTAGTGAACACAATAAGGCAGTCCATTCATGTTTCAGAGTACATTGCTCTAGAAAGATACTTCCTCCCGGCCCATCCCAAGATTTTGATAACATAATGCCACATGGACATATGGATACTGGAACAAACCAGTAGAGTAGGTGATGTTACAGTGTACTGTTTTGTAAACATTTGGTTCAGAATTATAGGGGTATTTATTGTGCATGAAGTCATGGAAACAGCTGTTTAGAGAGTTGCCTGTTGCTTGCCAGTTGCAGGCTTGGTCATGACTGGCAAACAACAGACTCATCTCTAAAAAGCTGCTTCTGCTGTTGAAGCTAACACAGTGCTTGGGGCAAATGCCAACAGGATTCTGGCCTTGGTTTTAGATTTCTCTGGGAAAGGCATGTAAACAGTGCTTGATGCAGTTAGTCCCTGGGATCTGAAGGCA